TTGCCGCTGATCTGAAAGAGGTACACGGCGTTCAGCTCCTTCTTCAGGGCGTCATCGATGGCGGTTCGGGCCTTCTCCAGCAGCTGCCCGGCGTTTAGATCACCGCTGCTGCTGGTGCTGGTGCTGGTGGCAAAGTTTGCTCGGAAATTGAAAGAATTTGAAGTTCGATTAAAAAGTTGAGGTTTCGAAACGGCTGAACTGAAGTTCCGAGAGTTGTTGAGAACCAAATTACGGCCGAAAATGGAGCTAAAGGTGCCTCTGAGGTGTCTGCAAAGCAAAGAAAATGATTTGTAAATTTAGCGAAAATTACCAAAGTAGATTTGTGAAAACTTACCGAGTGTGGCCGATCATTTTGATGTTTGAGTTGCTGACGATTGATTTGAGCTTTTAGCAATGGTTAGCAAAAACTCTTTCCTCTCTTCATTTCCATTGCCGGCGGTGGTGGTGGTGGTGGTGGTTATTATACGCTGAAATGTGCTAATGTGACATTTCAGGTACTAGTGTTAGCGAGCCTCGTCTGTGTGAACTGTTTATTTTCCTCATTGATGTTACATTTTAGGTACAGTGCTGTACAGTAAATGTACAGTAGCATTGGAAAAGCAGTGGTCACTATTTTCCTATCATTTTCTCTCTTTTTCCCTCTCCCTCGTTTCCTCGACCTCACATTGGCCGTGGCATTCTCCATTGTCTGATAACAGAGAAAGTGTTATCAGGGTGCTTGCTTTTTGGATGCTGATAAGAGGATTGACAGCAAAGTTTTTGGCGAGCCGCCAACTTTGGACAGCCTTTTTTGTGCACGAGAAAAACCTTGGGAGTGGTCGCTTTAGAGATAGAAGAAAAGAAATGTTTTATTATTTTACAGTAGAGGTACAGTGTTTTCTGTTGTTGTTAGATCTCATTTGGATTTTGATCACCGGGGAGTCATTCGAGAGTTCAGGCACACAGACAACAACAACACCGGTAATGCGTGCACAAACACGATGATGATCTAGAAAAAGAAGGGAAAGAATCTAGTGGCCAACTTTGAAGGCGGGGAAAAGGCATTCATTCATCGGCGACCTTAATTTCAACTGTCAATAAGTCTTAGTTTTTTCTCAGTCGATCTTCACCTTGGCCGCCTTGAAGATCTTCTCCGCCTTCATCGCCACGCCGACGTTGCCCTTGATCTTCAGCTTGCCGGTCATGAAGGCGCTGGTCGGCTTCGTCTTGCCCTGCGCCATCTTCACGAAGGTGTCCTCGTCGGTGATCAGCGTCACGTCCACCTTCTCCGGCACCTTGTCCTCCTCCAGCAGCTCCACCTTCAGCGGCCGCGAGGCGTGGGCGTCCAGCAGGTAGTTCTTGCCGCTCACCTTGAAGATGAAGACCGCATTTAGTTGCTTCTTCAGCTCGTCGTCGATCGTCTCGCGGGCCTTGTCGAGAATTTTGCCGGTCATGCTGGCGTCGGCCAGCGTTCGGCGTTGCTGCTGGAACAGGCTGTTCTTGTTGTTGTTGTTGTGGACATTGCTGTTTACAAATAGAGCTGGCTTCAGCGTGTGCAGCGATGCTCGGGACATGATCTGGATGGAAGCAAATTGTTTTGATCCAGCAATGGTGGCACGCAGGGCTGCCTGGCGGACGAGGTTGGCTCTGATGATTATTGTTAAGAGGTAGAATTAGAATCGTTAGAAAAGCACTTTGTTGTCAAGCAGCAATCACCCTTACCCGGAAAACATTTTCGGTCGGTTGAGCGTTGAGGAACTGTTTTGGTGTAGTAAAAGAAAACGGAAAAGTTGAACACCAAACACTGGTTAGTAAGTCGGGTGTTTGTTTGTTGATCGTGGTCGTCTTCCTCTTCTTCCTCCGAGAACTGCAGAGCGGCTTCGGGCAGACGGTAGTCTTTTGTAGTCTTCCCTTAGGTACGAATGTACGTGGCAGCTCGTAGATCTCCTCTCTGCTTTCCTCTGTGTTTGTATCCTCGTCGATGGTAAACAAAAAGTGGCCGTCTGCGGCAGCAGCTTTTCTCTTCGTAGGCCTTTGCCGCTAGCAGTCTGCTGGTGGTAGTATCCTCTTCACTTCAGAACAAGTTCTGTGGTCGGTGGTGTTGGTGATGAGGAGAAGAAGAATAGTGGACAACCAACGATCAAAGGCATATGACATGATATGAGGATAAAAGCCAGGAGAGGAGCCACTTTTTATCAGAACAAGTTGATAAGATGATGATGATGTTGATGACTGACTGACTGGCTTCAGTCTTGGTTTGCCCGAACCGAGCTTGTCTGTTGCCTTCTGGTTGCAACTTGCAACCAAGTTTTGATGCTTTATTTTTTTTCTCTTTTACAACTCTAGCACCATCTCGGATCGGGAAATGCAAAATCGCCGATTTTAAAATGGTAACGCCGGATTTCGGCAACAATGGAAGAACTTGAGGCGTTCAACAATGCTCTCTGATTGATGCTACAAAAACAGAAGAGCTTTTGGCGTTATTCAACGTCACATCAAGTTTACACCAAACAAACACAGCTGCTCAAAACAACAACAACAACATCTTGAATGAAACTTCAAGCTCAAACTCCGGTGCTTCTTTTGGGACTGCTGTCCATTATCCTTCTGGCAAACGGACACCAGATCGATTCGGTGAGAGTTGTAGGAGTTCTTTTTTCAGTTTTATCCTAACATTTTCTTCTTCTTCCTCTTCTTCAGGACCACTTCTGCAACCTGATCAGCGAGCGCCGGCACGACCACCTCCGCCTGGAGAGCTTCACAGTACACCTCGATGGCGGCGGCGGCGGCGGCGGCGACGATTTCGACAGTGGCGACTCCTGTTCGATTCACTTCGTGGAGGGTGGGCGCCGGTACGGCGGCACCGTTGACCTCACCAGGGACGCCCTCAACCAGACGGCGGTGCCGCTGACGCTAAGCAAGGCGCCCCTTTCGGACCGGTCGAAGGTGGATCAGATTAGCTGGCGCTATACCATTGACCTGACAGAGGGCAGCTGGTTGAAGGTAGTGCAGGCCGACAATGGCTCCCACCTGCTGGTGGGCGTCACCCGAAAGGGAGCACAGAAGGAGGAGCGGCTCACCTTCACTGGAGATGACCGCCTCAAGGTGGCCCACAGCGTCGTCCTGGGGCCGAGGAGCTGGACGGGGTACCTCTTCTTCGAGGTCGGGTCTCAGGACAACAAGGACAATCAGGACGAGGACTCCATCGTGGGCGTCGTTTCGATTTGCGAGTTTCTCCTCTGCCAGCACAACGGCGAGCCGCCGGAGCGCAGTTCAGCGAGGACGTACGTCGGAGCGCTCCGGTCGGCCACCCTGCTGGCGCCCTTTCAGGGCGGAACTCAGCCGTACTATGTCTTTGTGCGGGACGGCGAGGAGCAGCTGGTGCTGCAGAAGAGTGGAGGCCAACCGGAAGTGTCCACGGTGGCCCAGCAGCAGCTCTTCAGAGGACGGCGGCGACGACGACGACTGCCGTGGCCGCCCCTCCCCCTTGGCTTCCTCTGCATGACCGCCCACGATGGCCTCCGCGTGTACCTCTTTGACGTGCAGCGGGCGGTGGTGAGGGCCTTTGCGTACCAGGGCCTGGGGGGCCGCCTCGCCGACGCCATTCCCCTGAAGACGGTCGAGTTTTGGCGATTCTTTAAATGCCATGAGCCTCAGCAAAAGATAAACCCAGGTAAGTGTGTTTTTGTTTGGGTGCACTCTATCATTTAGAAACTGACAATGCTTTTGTTGGATATGCTGCTGATCGATCGTTTGATCTAGATTCAACCGAGAAGACCGCCTCCACTTCTTCGGAAGCCGAAGGCCTCAGCTTTGTGGCCATTCTCAGTCTGATGGGCCTAATCGGCGCCACTTTCCTCCTCACCAGTTTCCTCCTCTACTGCTGCTGCTGCTGTCGGCGGGCGATGGCCGCCGCCACCGCCTCGAGGTTCACCCACCTGGAGCACAGCACCACCTTCCGCCACCTCCGGTCACGTCGATACCAAAACCAAGGACTGGGGCAAAGGGAGCGGAGGGGCAGGAGCAGGATAGGAGGAGGAGGAGGAGGAAGATACGGTGGCGGTGGTGGTAGGAGAAGGATGATGGATACCGGTACTTATGGTGGAGGTGAACCACACCGGATGAACAACAACAAAGGTCGAAGACAAAGCAACAGAACAACAGAAGAGAGCACCAATCGAAGCGGGAAGACCATTTCCGAGAAGCAGAAGAGCGACGGAAGCAGCAGCAGCAGCAAGTCCAGCACGAAGAATGGCAGCGACCCGGTGGCGGCCCGCACCTCTCTGGAAATCACTCTGCCGCCGAAGAGGAAGCAGCAGCAGCAGAAGGGGAAACAGAAACCTTCTCCGAATAGAAAACAGTCTCCAGCCCCCGGAAAGAAAACGGGTAATATGGTTTCCAAGCAGCAGAAGATCTTGTTCTCCGGTGACAAAAGCAGTCAGCAGCCGCAGCAGCAGGGCAGCTGCGAATCGGAAGGTCTCTCCAAGTGCTTGCCCAAGAAAACGAAGTAGGTGTAGTGCACTGCTGCTGCTGCAAGAATTAAATACCGGTACCAAATTACACCAAACCTTCTTGACCTTGGTGAACTTTGATAAAGGGATCTTATCACTTTTATTCACGGTGGTAGAATCGACAAAGAAGCACTCTTTTTGTGTGTTTACATTTTCAAATCTCGAAAGTCGTACAGGGCCGGTCGCAGAGGACGTGATCGGCGTTCACGTGCTGCTGTTTTGTTTTGATTTGGTGTTTTCAGGTGTTCTCTTTTTCTCTTTTCGGTGATTCGAATGTTTGTAAAATGGAAGCGACGACGACGCCCACACTAGAGGAAAGCCTAGTTCAGAAGAGCTCTGAACCGGAGAAGCCGAAGGAGAGCAAGTTTTACGGTAAGTGGTATTGCGATTGAAAATCTTTGAAAAAATCCTTTTAAGTTCTAAATCATCTTTTATTTTATTTTTTGAACAGAAACCCTCTTCCTCGGCGCCATGGCCGGCTTTGGCGTGATGATCGGCTTCAGCAATGGCGTCTCGCTGGCGAAGAAGAAGGACGAGAAGGCCTTCAATCAGGTACTGAAGTAGAAAACTCAACTTCGAACTCTTCGTAACCGATTCTCAATCATTCTACACCTTTCCAGGGCCTGCTGATGCTCAACGATCGCCCAAACAGGCCGCAGATGGAAACAGGGGCCCGACTGGCAATGCGAGCCCTCGGCTGGGGCTCCCTCTACGCGATCACCGGCGTGGGCGCCGTCTCCGGCCTCATCTGGTGGCTCTCGGGCGCCAGCGATGTAAGATCGACGGTTTTAAAAATCCCCTTTCTAAATCCTTTCACTTCCACTTTTTCATTAGCTCAAAGACTTTCGCCAGCGAATGGGCGAGCTGCTGCCCGCCGTCCCGAAGAACAACCCTCCACAAGGTCGCACTGAATTTGAGTCCTTTCGCGACCTCTTCACCTACCTCTCGGAAGAGTCAGAGGCGAAGAAGACGACGACGGCGACAAGGACTGCCGAGCAGTCCCAAACAGCTGAAGAAGCTGAAAGAATACCTCCTCCAAATCAAAGTTGACACTACCAACTCCTCAACCCTCTCCTTTGTAGATAGAATCCACCAATTCCACAGCTGTACAGTAAAGACAAAACCGAACTGAAAGAAATCAGAAAAGCCATCGGAGTTTAGTTAGTTTAGTTTAGAAATAGAAATAAGAAAATGAGGGAGAGAACAACATCGACACAGCAACACCAGCAGCAGCAGCAGCAGCAGCTAAAAGGAAAGAAGATGAAGATCACAAAGCACGAGAGCAAAGATCGCGGAAAGGAGCTAGTAGTAGTAGTTCTCAGAAGCTGTAGATGACGGCCATGACGGCCGACTTGACCGACTCATTCGCCGGCTGCTCCACCGCCCGCAGGACCATCGACCTGAGGGTGGCGCGCGGCTCGGCCGCTGGCAGCGCCTTCAGGGCGCCGGCCAGGGCGAAGAGCGGGCCGCGCAGATCGGCGCCCTTCGGCGGCGCCAGCCGCCGCTCCTCCGCCTTGATCAGGCCGCAGGCGACGAGGAGGGCGTTGACGAGCGCCATTGCCGAGGAGGCGGAGTTGCGGGCGAGGCCGACCTTGAGCAGCGCCTCCAGCTCCAGCTTGGCGCGGTCCGTCAGCTTGGGCTGCTGACCGCCAGCACCACCTTCTGCTGCAGGCCTGAAGCCCTTGCTCGCCACCCAAAAGTACTTCGCGGCGAGGTCCTCCGTGGTGGTGAAGGCCGCCTCGTGCTTCGCCACCAGCGACTCGAGCGTGGGCGGCGGCCCGGTGGACTTTCGGCTCCCCTTGCCGTTCTTCAGGGGCGAGGCCTCTTGAACGTCGCCATCGTCGCCGCCCGCTTCTCCGTTGACCTTTTCTCCACCTTCTTCGTCTTCTGAAGCCTCTTCGCCCTCTTCTTCCTCCTCCTCCTCCTCCTCTTCATCATCCGAGCCCTCATCCTCGGCGATCAGCAGCTCCACCACCTCCGGTTCTGAGAAGTGCGCCTGAAGACGTCCCACCAGCTCCTCGCCGAGGTTGTTGACGCCCAGGTCCAGGCGGAGGACGGTGGAGGGCGAGGCCCGACCGGCCAGCAGCTGCTCCACCGTGGCGATGATCGTCTCGCCGAGGTCCTGGCCTTGCGCCTTGCGGACGCTGATGCCATTGCCGCTGAGCACCAGCTCGCGGAGGTAGTGGACGCCGGCGGTGGCCGCGAGCGTCTGCAAAGCGGCCAGCACCGCCAGCGCCCCGTCCGTCCCCAGGAGGCAGTCGCCGAGGTTGAGCACCTGCAGGCGTCGCAGGCCGCGGATCGCCTCCGCCACCAGCGGCCCCCGCTTCCGGAGGACGTTGTCGTTGAGGTTGAGGACCCGAAGGTTGGCCGCGTTGGCCGTCACGGCGCGCATCAGCGCCTCGATGCCCGCCGCCTTCGTGCCGTTCTGCGGCAGCTCCAGCACCTCCAGGCGGCGGAGCTGCTCCAGGGCGGCGGCAATGTCCCGCACGCCGTCCACCTCTAATCGATTGCGGCCGATGATCAGCTCGGTGAGGTGCTCCAGCTGGGGCAGGACGGTGGAGAGCATCTGGCCGCCCTTGATGCCCAGGCCGCAGTTGTTCAGGCGGAGGACCTTCAGGGAGGCGGTGCAGGCGGTGCTCGAGAGGAAGGGCGTCAGGACGGGCATGGTGACGGGGCCGATGGCGTTGTCGTTGAGGTTCAGCGTTTCGATTTGCGCCCCGGAGGCCTGAACGGCGCCGAAGAGGAGCTCCAGCGCGGCGGGAATCTCGTCCTTCAGGCGGCTGGTGAACATGTCGTTGAGGAGGAGGTGCTTGAGGGCCCCGGCCTGGGAGAGCGCCTCGCCGAGGGCCCGGGCGGCCTCCACGCCGTAGGAGTTCCCCTCGAGGCTGATGGTGTGCAGGCAGTGGGCGCGCTCGTTGATCGCCTCCACCAGGTCGGCGACGTCCTCGGCGGTGTCAAACTTGACCGTCCGCTTGGTGGTGGTCACCTCGGTGCCGTCGGCTGAGCTGGTGGCCATTTTTTGGTGGTGGTGATCTGATAGTAATGGTGTTGGTGATGAGGTGATTCGAGGGTTTTAGAACTCCAGGAA